GAGAGGCTGTACAATAAAAAAAGAAAAAAAGAAAAAGAGAGAGAGAGAGAAAGGAAGGAAGAGAGGGAGGGGAGAGGGAGGGAGGGGGGAGAGAGAGAGAAAGAGAAAGAAAAAGAGAGAGAAAACGAAGAAGATTCCTCAGTCATTAAGAGTGAATTCCAGCGGGGCCCTAGGTGCTAGACTCACATGGCTGACTGTGGTTCAACTCTCAGACCTGGCAGCTTGAAATTCATGCCAGGCACATGTGTGTGTGTGCCCAAAACCCCAGGAGGAGAATGGAGACAAAAAGACAGTGGTGTGACCATCCTCCCAGGGGGGGACGTCTCACTTTCCCTCTCTGTGCCTCTCTGTCTCTCTGGTGAGCACATGCACCAAATGGCAAAAGCCTAAAAAAACAAGCAAAAAAAAAAAAAAAAGAGAATTGCAGACCATTCTTATGGCCTTGGTGGCTAAGGAGTTAGATCACATATGGACATCTGCACAGTTCAAATCCCAGACCCAGCAGCTTAAGGGACATGCCGAAATCCCCACAGGGTGGAGCTATGGAGAAGGGACTGTGACATGATCACGCCTCATTGGGAGTGTGCTCTGTCTCTGGCAAGTGCATGCACCCTCTGGAAAATTAAAATTAAGGAACCAGCAGTTAGCGTAATGACTATGTCGCTGGATTCCCATGTAGTCGACCGCGGTTTGCGTCCCAGACCTGGTGGTTTGAAACTCACGCTGGGAGCGTGTGTGTGCGCGTGCCCAAGATCCCGAGAGGAGAATGGAGAAGCGATTGCAGTGTGGCCATTCCCCCTGGGGGGGGTGATTTCTCTTTCTGTCTGTCTCTCTCTGTCTGACAAATGCACGCACCTTATCGCAAAAACCAAAAAAAAAAAAAAAAGAAAATTAAATCTTTTTTTTTTTTTTGAAAAAAAGGGCTCTTAAAGAAAAACTAGTGGGTTCCTTAGAATTTGTGGGGTATTTTATTTTTGCTTATTTGGGTGTATAGGCCCAGACCACTATAAATGGTCACGTTTATTTACCACGCCCAAAACCTGATCGGTAGAGACCCCCACGGCCTTATTGGAAATCAGTCCCCTTGAAGAGTCCTCCAGCTGTTCTGGAGGGCGACCAACCAGCATGGTCTGCCCAGGACTGAGCAGCTCCCTGAATGTGGGGCTTTGAGTTTGAGATGGGGACCGTCCCAAGCAAGTGGGGCCGATGACCCTGTGGCGGTCACACTGTGACTGTGCTCCCTGAGGGCTTTTCTATGAGCTCAAAACCAGCGCCCAAACTTCCGCACCAACTCGATTTCTATTGTGTTTATTGTCAACACACACTTATTTACAGTAATGACCATAAAAGTAGTTGATTAAAAAACATCGGTGGGGTCAGCAGGTGGCATAGTGGTTAAGGCACTGGATTCCCACATGGTTGACTATAGATCAAGTCCCGGACCCGGGAGCCTGAAATTTATGCTGGACCTGTATGTGTGCCTGCCCCAAATCCCAGGAGAATGGAGAAGGGATTGCAGCCTGGTCATGCCCTCTTGGGGGAGGGGAGTTCTCACTTTTTCTCTGTCTGTCTCTGGCAAATGCATGCACCATACGGTAAAAACCTAAAAAAGTCATCAGCACCAATCTTGGAGTAGCCATGAATAAAAACCACAGTAGGTAAAGCCACGACAGGAGGCATCGTCACAAGAAAGGGGGCCTGAGCAAGGAGCTGGGAGGGAAGTGGACCGTGAGAGAGAGAGAGGGGAAAAGTGAGAAAGCAAGCCGCCAGGTCCAGGACTCAAACCACAGCTGGCTGTGTGGGAATCCAGCGCCTTAACCACCATGTCCCGTGCCAGCCCTGGAGACACTTTCTAAATCACTGCCACCACCTGTTTGCTCCTCTGTAAAATGGGACCCAAACTAGATCACGACTCGACGTTTTCAGAAGCCAGAGCACGTCCGAGTTGTGGTGTGGCAGTCCCGAAAGCAAGGAGAGTTGGCATCAGATTTCATTATTTTAAGTGTAATTTGCTGAATTAAAATGACTCTGATATAAAAGCAAACACGTAATGGCAGCCAGGAGCTTGTGGTCACAGGAGGAAAACCACGCCGATGAAAGCAGCTGCCGGCTGCCTCCACATTGCCCATTAACATTGCTGGCTGCCGGCTCCTTTGTCTGCTGGCATTTCTTCACCAAGGGGTCACAGACACCAGATTCCAAAAAAGTTTGTTGGAGAAAAAAGAGAAAATCCAGAAAAGTGGCCATTAGTTTGCGTTTTGAATAAATGCAGGGAAAGCTGTGCCTGATCCCATTTTTGGCGGAGGGGAATCCAAGCCCGGCTTTTGAGGAGCCTCAAGGTTTGAACAGAGCCTGGCCTAACACTCATTGGTCAGAAGGATGCTTAAGGGGCTTTTCCCAGCTAAAGTCTCAGACCCCTCCCTAGTCCCAGCTGCTGTGTGAGTCACTGTGCAGCTGGTCCTGGCAGCATCTCGGCGACCCCACACAGGGGCTGGGGCAACTGTCCTGATTGGTTGTCCCAGCCTCAGCTGTTCACAGCCACAGGCACAGGAGCAGGCCAGAGCCGAAGGCACAGCCAGATGGCAGAGGGGATCAATGAGGAAACAAGCCTTCAAGGCAGCTGGGCAGAGGCCCTGCATTCACGGGAGAGAGCCCGGGCAGGCACAGACGGCTGGTCGCGGGCTCTGGGGGGCAGCAAAGCAGGCGAGCAGCTGTTCTCCAGCAGGGCTGCCGCAGAGCTGTGGAGGGAGAGCAAAACCTTGCAGTGATCCCAGCCCGGGGGCGTGCCGTGTGCAGCTTGGAGCCACACACAGCTGCAGCCCTGGGGGTGCCTGGGAGCACCTGCCTGGACAAACCAGACAGGTGACAAGACAACGCCAGGAAGCTGCCAACAAAAGGCACAAGCAGAGAAGCAACAGGAGGGGACAGGTGGCCAAGGGCATTCATCCTTCCAACAGACGTCCACTGAGTAACAGCAACACAGGAGCCTTCCTGAGTCACTAGCTTTATTTTCTTTTTCCAGAAGGAAATACAAATTATTTGTAAAATTATCTTAAGAAAACAAAAGTGCAATAAGTGAAAAAGTAGCAAAAGTAGCAGTCCTCCTTCATTCCACATCTGCAATGCCACTCTCCAGAGGTCACCACTGGCATCGCCGTGGTGTGGGGTCTCCGGGACGTTATGTGCATACAGAAAGCACGTATGTACACACATGCACACTGTCTCGCAACCAAAACAGCCATCTTACTCTTCACATTGTTCTGCAACTCCGTTTCCCACTTCCCATCTGGTCACATTTTACATGTCAGTACGTATGTCTGTGTCATTCTTTTGAACAGCTAAATGCTTTTCCACAGTAAGAAGGCAGCAGAGGAAGCTGGCATCCGTTTCCTGCCTCTCACTCCGAGACTGCTGCAGTGAGCATCCTTGCACAGACATGCTTGCACGCTGGTCTGGGTATCTGTGCTATAGAGATCTGGCAGCTTCACTGGACCATGAAGTTGGCACATTCACACGTGTAATAGATGCTGCTGAACAGCCTCTGACAGCAGCTCACAGCCCCGCCCACGGTGCCTTGCAAACAGCAGTTCTGATTTGAGAAACAAAATCTAAAAACACCCCCATCTACACATTTGGGATATAATGTTTATGGCCTCGAAGGTCCCCCTACTCTGAAGCTCAAATAGGTCTCCAGGCTAAGACCCCTCTTTAAAGGAAGCCCTGGCAGGTCAGGAGAAGCGGTGATCACGTCTGTTTTCCCAAGCATCATCAGAATTCAGGCAGGAGCTACCGCAGCGTGGGCCGGCCATGATTCATAGGCGCAGTACGTCGCCTGAAGGATGAGGACGGGAACCTGGCCAGCACAGGCCTGCCGTCAGGCTAACCAGATTCTTCCCTTGTGTGTCCTGCAGGTGATTGCGAATAACTAACCAGTCCTCCTGACTGTTCCAGGCTTGGAAAGGTCATAGCAGGAAAATAATAAAGTGACAACTGCATGAATCACATGTTGGTGAGAGTGATTAGCTTATTGTCCTAACATCAGGGCCCTAAAAACAAGAAACAAGCTGGGTTCATTTTTTTCTTAAAAGACATCCGGGAAACCCAACCTCTCACGTGGCACGACACGGGCACACTGCAATCCAGTGTGGGGGCTGTCCTACAGAAGTAAGGCACAGGGGGGTGCTAGGGGCTGTGTCTCAGAAGACCCGGGTCCCAGCCAGGTCTCCTCCTGGTTAACTGCGCTCCCTCGGACTGGAGACTTAACCTCCCTGACCACGTGCTTCTGCGCTAGTCACCTTCCTGGGACGATGGGGAGGGGGCCGGTACAATAAGACATGGAGAAATGAGAGGAGAGCACGTCTGCTCAGGCCAGCCAGATGGCACGGTGCTAGGGTGCTGGATCCCACACGGCCAACGGTGTGGTTCAAGTTCGAGAGTGGCGACTTGAAGGACACCATGGGTGTGCGGGCATGGGGGCGTGCCCAGAATCCTGAGTAGAGAATAGAGAAGGGATTGCGGCATGGCCATTCCCCATGGGGGGTGGCTTTCCCCCTCTCTCTCGGTCTCTGTCCAGTGAGTGCACATATCTTATAGCAAGAAAAGAAAAGAAAAAGTCTGCTTTATGAGCCTCCCTTTTTCTTTATAAAGACCAAAGAATTGGAACAAAGAGGGAAAAAGAAGCAAAAGAGAATCCATCTTTGCCTAAGATTTTTTTTTCTTTTTTTTTGTCTAGGATTTATTTTTTAAGAACAAATAATACAAGACAGGATAAATCAATACTTTTTAAAACTTCACTTAAAATTCAGATTTCAAGGGCCAGTAGGTGGCATGATGGTTAAGGCACTGGACTCCCACATGGCCAACCGCGGTTCAAGTCCCAGGACCTGGCAGCTTGAAAATCATGCCAGGCCTGTGTGCATATGTGCCCAAAATCCCAGGAGGACACTGGAGGAGGGATTATGGTGTGGGCCATCTCCCCTGGGGAGTGATTTCTCACTTTCCCTCTTCCTGTCTCTATCTCCAGCAAGACACATACTTATGCAAAAACCTTAAAATAAAATAAAACAAAACAACTCACAGATTCCAGCTGTTAGACTCTAATAACCCCAAGCTTGCTGATCTATAAGAGATGCTGGTTAGTTTACAGCCCAAGATTCCCACAGAGCAGAGGTTCTCACGTGGAGGCAGTTCTGTCTCCCTGGGCATACTCAGCGACTGGGCAGACATTCCTGGCTGGCATTGTCCCAGGAGGGTAGCACTGACATGTGGTGGGCAGAGGCCAGAGAGGGCACTAGACATCCTACAACACACAGGACATCCATGACACAGCACGCTCTGACCCCGCACCTGTCAATGGTACAGAGCAAACACGGAGTTGCAGGCCAGGCGCTGTCCTGGGACCAGCCTGGGGAAGAGGCCACAGTACCCATGGTGTCCTGCTGCTGCTCCTTTGCTTGGCACTTGTCTCCAACCTGGAAGCTGCTTAGAGCCCGTCTGCCATGGTGGTGAAGGAGCAGACCCCACACAGGCTACGAAATCTTTCAGTTGTAGGAAAGTCCAGGCCTCGGCCATGTCTAGGCCTGGGACAGGAAGGCTGCTGGGTGACAGATAAAGCAGGCTTACGGGCCCTGGTCTCATTAAGTTTTAAAGAAGAGCTTCTTCCGGAGGAAGTTAAAACAACCAGGCATCTGTTTGTAAATCCCTTTCACCGACACAGCATCAGCGACCTGTGAAGACACAACCACGGGGAGTTCTCTGAGCTCAGTTCTCACAACCGAGGGAAAAATTCCAAAGAGGGGCTGGGAAGGGGCGCAAAGAGGGGTGCTGCGGTAACTCAACTGGACCCACATGGTAAGGGCTTCAAGCTGTATACTCTGGGCACACGCACATGACTGTGAGCCAGGCTGGCTCAGGCTGGGGGTGGATCATGGCATGAGGACCCTGTTGGGGGTGCCTGTCTCCCTCTCTTTCTATCTTAGAATAAATAAATGAATAAATTTTTGTTTTGAGAGAGAGATTTTTTGCTGTGGGGTGTTTGCACTTGCCAGAGACAGAAAGAGAGACAGAAAGCAAGAAATCACCCCCCGGGGGGGATGGCCATGCCGCAATCCCTTCTCCTCCATTCTCCTCTCGGAATCTTGGGCACGCATGCACACGCGCCCAGCGTGTCCAAGACTTGAAGTTATAAGCTACTGGGTCCGAGATTTGAACTGCAATTGACTACATGGGAGTCCAGCAACATATAAATTATGTCATCTCCTGGTCCATGAATAAAAGAGAGGCTAGGGGTAAACCCCCATTAAATCAGCACTTTATAAACAGCTCTGACTGAGGCCTCCCAGAGGGAGTATATTAAGAGCACGCACCTCGAATACAAGTTTAAAAAGCTCAAAATGCAAAATTTCCAGGTCAAACATCCACAAAGTTTAAATCAGACTGAAAGGCTTGCACTGGAGACCACCAAGCCCAGGAGCCCAGCGACTGCTGAGCCCTGGCTGTCCCTGCCCCGCAGGGCCCCGACACCCCTGAGGCTCACTGCCCAGGCCATGGCCGCAGTGCCCTGGAGGTGAGCTTAGTGGCTACCCTGCGCCTGCATTTCTCTCGTCCTCCATAAATAAGTAAATAAATAAATAAAGTGGGAGAGGGAAACTGAGAAAGTAAGCTGCCAGCCCTGGACCCAAACCATGGTGGCCATGTGGGAGTCCAGCGCCTTTAACATCATGCTGCACAGCAGCTCACAGGGCCACACTCTCCCTCTGGAGCAAAGAGTGGCCCAGGCCTTGAGTCCTCTGCAGGCACCAGACACCTGGACGAGCAGGGGGGACCCAAAGGCAGCGAGGAGCCTCGGGGTTTCTGTAGGAACACCTGCTGTGAGTGGGGTTTGTAGGTAGCAGAGCTGGGCCCTGCCAGCCCACCTTTCCTGTCTGCTCTCTCGCTGGGCCTGAGAAGGGGTTAGGAGGGATCTGTGATTCTTGAGGACCAAGAGTTGAAGACTACACAGCAGAGCAAGGCACAAGGGGGGCTCTGCAAACCGCCTCCAGGGTGCCATGCTCTGGTCACGGAGCCGCCCCACCCTCACCCTGAGGACCTGTGCCATCAGCAGGGAGGGAGGAGACCTCACAGGAGGAGGGAAGGCAGCCCTTTGAAAAGAAGGAAGATGTCAGCCCAGGGGATAACATCTCAATGAAGAGAAGCGAGGCACAGTACGTGTGTGGGAATCGTCCTGGGTTCACCCCCAGGATCCCCTGGGCAGGTGAGCGGTGCCAGCACGCGTGCCCACAATGCGGGCCGGCTGAGACTAGCAGTGGACCACGGTGTGAAGACCTCACCGGGCGCCTGTCTTCTCTTCTCCTGTCTCTCTTGGAATAAGAAGAGAGAGAAGCAAAACGTCTTGCTGCCTCCAGCTCTGGCTCGGGCCCTGCCCCACCCTGGGAGGCCCCACTGCCCTGTGGCAGCCTCTGCTCCTGTGGAAGAGGCCGCACTCACCCTGAGCAGCAGGGATTGGAGGTCCTCGGAGTGAGCCCACTGCTCAAAGACGCCGTCCAGGGTCTCAATGTACCAGGAGCCGCTCGTGGTGTTCCTCCAGGACACGAAGCCTGTGCGAGCAGAAAGGCTGGACTCTGGAGAGCCGCCCCTCCCCCACCTCTGGAGTGAGTGAGGCCCATTTGTGCATCGGTGACGCGGCCCATGTCCCTGCACTCCGTCCTACTGTCGCCTCCTTCCGCCCTCGGATCCACCGCCTTACTTTGCCTGTGATTTCCGTTTCCCACCAAGGAAACCAGGGTTCAGAGCAGTGACATAACTCACCCGAGGGATGAAAGAGGAAGAAAACTGCCACATGTCACCTGTCACACCTACCACGTGCCAGGCACGTGCTCACCATCCCTGTGCTCAGCTACCTCGAACCCCCATGATAACCCCTGAAGGACAATTACTCCTCCATTTTATTTATTTATTTTTAAAAAATAATTATTTTATTTAACTTATTTACTTACTTATTTTAATTTGACCAGAGAGGGACAGAATGAGAGAGAGAAAGCAAGAAAGCTAGCCACCAGGCCCTGGACCCGAACCATGGTCGGCCATGTGGGAGTCCAGTGCCCTTAACCACCACGCCACCTGTCGGCCCCTCATTGTAAAGATAAGTAGGCTAAGGCAGGCCAGGAGGAGGGTGAGGTAAGTGGGGTATGCAGACCCAAGGGCATGTGCCTCCTTAAGCCACGCATCCCAGGGCCTCATCACCCTCAGCCTGCGCTGAGGCTCAGAGAGGTGACTGCAGGGGCAGAACCAGGCCTCCTCTTCCACAGCACCGCAGCCCCGAGGGCAGATGCGAGGGCCCATGGCTGGGAGGGGGAGCTCTCCTGAGGTGCTCACCTGGGAAGGTGGAGTAGGACACAAAGATGTCACTGGGTGTGGGCAAACTAGACACGGCGTCCGGCTGGTCGAAGGTCCTGGGGCCTTCCTGGAACGGGGCAGCATCTGGTTCAGGGTTACTGCCAGAGGCCGAGTCTTCGGGGGCCGTGGAGGCCACCTCAAATCCAGGGTCTTTCTTCTCTGTAGAAAACAGGCATGAATACCACTTATCACTGAAAAACACAGACCAGGGCTCTGACCTCACATAATACCACTCGTCACTGAAAAACACAGACCAAGGCTCTGACCTCACTTCTTGGTACCATCCAGCATTCCCCAGCCAGAGACCTCTGGGTTCCCTCTGAAGCCAGTGTTCCAGTGCTGGGCAAACATGAGCAGGAAATAGGAACAAACATTTTACTTTTTTCTAAAACAAAAGTATGATGAGGTCACAAAGTAAAATCATGGGCAGAAAGGAAAATGCAGAAAACTTAGCAACAAAAACAAAGTTATAAGGTACACACTCAAAAGAATTGAAAATAGCTATTCAAACCAAATCTTGTACCCAGGTGTCACGGCAGCAGAATTCGCCCCAGTCAAATGTGGAACCAGCCCAGTGCTCATCAACAGAGGAGTGTTAAGCACAATGCGGTATGTTCTGGCATGCCACAGGGAATAGTACTCAGCCCTGAAAAGGAGTGAAATACTGATACTTGCTACAATGTGGATGAAGCTTGAAAACACTGTGCTGAGGGTCCAGACAGCGGGACAGGTTTCAGGTTCAAGTCTGAGATCTCCCTGTACATGCTGGGTACATACGTGCACATGATCCAGGCTGGCTAAGGCTACAGGGGGATCATGGTGTGAAGACCTGTTGGGGATGCTGTCTCTCTCCCTCCTTCTCTCTCTTTGTGTCTCTCTCTAATATAAGATTTTTAAAAAAATTTGTTGTAGGATGCCTGTACTCACCAGACAGAGATAGAGAGAGGGAATGTGAGAAATCATCCCCAGGAGGATGGCCACACCACAGTCTCTTCTCCTCCATTCTCCTCCTGGGATTTTGGGCATGCACACAACCAGCATGTTTTTTGAGTCACCAGGTCCAGGATTCAAACCATGCAGTCAGTTGGCCATGTGGGATCCATCCACCTTAACCACCATGCTAACTGACCCAGAAATCAAATTTAAAAAAATAATCAGTGGGGCCAGCAGGTGGCATGGTGGACAAGGGCGCTGGACTCTCACATAGGTGACCATGCTTCGAGCCCTGGACCTGGTGGCTTGCTTTCTCATTTTCTCTCTCTCTTGCTCGCTCTGTCCCTCTCTGGTCAAATAAAAAATAAATAAAGTTGAATAAAAGAATTCTTTAAAAATAAATAAATAAATAAAACAAATTCTAAGGGCCAGCAGGTGGTATGGTGGTTAAGGCGCTGGACTCCCATATGGCCAACTGCAGTTCGAGTCCCGGGCATAGTGGCTTGCTTTTTCTCTCTCTCGCTCTCTCTCTCTCTCGTCAAATTAAAAACAAATAATAATAATACATAAAATGAAATAAAATAATTCTTTTTTTAAAAATAAATAAACTTTTTAAAAAAGGAGAGAACTGAGATCCCGTAAGCTAAGAACTGGCTACCACCTAAATAACCAACGTTAGAGAAATGGCTTAGCCGGTGAGCGCCCGTCACTGGCGAGGAACGTCGTCAAGTCGTCTGAGCTAGCGGTGAACAGTGTCACTGAGGAAAGCGCCGTGCCTGTGGGCTGGAAGGCCAAGCTTAGAGAAAAAGATGCAATGGCTGTGTTAGCTCACAAGATTCTGCTTTGTTTTATGATGATCGTATTTTCTGTCTTTGTAGTTTTAAAACCCAAACTTCCCCGGAGCAGCAGCTGGGCGACTATGGCCCAGGCTGTGGAGAAACAGAGAACCACCCTGGAGGGACAAAGGGCTCATCCCAGGCCGGATGGCAGGCAGATCTGTGTGGCTGATCTGGAGTGAGGTCACAGCTTACCCAGTGGGACTCGGGGCCCATCTGCAGGGTACAGGGATGGTCCAGCAACTCCACACTCACAACCCCAACACCTACTGACCTCTCACCCCAGACAGCTGAAGCTCCAAAACTGCGGGTCAACTGTGTGCTCACAGCCCAGGTGCAGGGCCAGGTTTCTGCCCTCTGCCTGCCTCTCACCTACCTTCCCACATCCCACAGAGCCCAAGTCCGCAAAGGAGGCGCCTTAGATCAGGAAGAGTCCTGCCCTCGAGCTCTCTCAGTTCAGCGCTTCTGGGTGTTTCCCTTGAAGAGGTTCTGGAATCTGCCTTGGGTATCTGGGTGTGACTGGAAGTGGACAAGGATGGGGTGAGGTCCGCCCTGACAGCCTGGGGTGGGGGGTGCCATAGGAATGCAGAGGGACCAGTCCCTGAGAAGCAGGGAAGTGACAACAGGGTCAGAGGGGAGGCTATGGGAGAAGGGGAAGTGCGGGTCAGACGGGGTGCATGCTACATCTCCATTCGTGTCATCCTCATTCTGCAAATCTGACGCCACAGTCCAGCTGACGAGGTTATGCACTTACACGGGGCTTGGTTCTTAGAGCACCTCATGAATGCAAAGCTCCCTACAAGGCCAGACGCGTTCCCCATGAAAGACTTCTCCAGTGGGAGGAGGAACAGTTCGGCGGCACAGGAAACCCACAAGCTCTGCAGCAGTCGCTGTGGCTTTCGGCTTTCTCAGCCTGATCCCTACAACTCTCCAGGGAGTCACCCAAAACTGACAGCCTGGCCTGACAGACACAGCCACGTGGCTTCGGCCAAGAGCACCAGGCTGTACTGGGCTGCATCACGCTGACAGGACACACCAGAAGTACTGACTTTGAAGCCTGTTTTTCAGCCCTAGAGTTGTTTCCTTGGGATGAAGGGATAGACAACAGGTTGGAGGCTTTTTAAAATTGTTTTAAATTGGGACCAGCAGTTAGCATCATGGCTATGTTAGTCGACCGCGGTTCACATCCCGGACCCGGTGGCTTAAAACTCGCGCCAGGCGCTGTGCGCGCGTGCCCAAGGTCCTGAGAGGAGAATGGAGGAGAAGGGATTGTGGTGTGACCATCCCCCTGGGGAGTGATTTCTCGCTTTCTGTCTCTCCGTCTCTCTATCTGGAGAGCGCACGCGCCCTATAGTAAAAACCTCTCAAAAAAAACTGTTTTAAATTATAACAACAGTGAATTTTAAAACAGGAATTCAAGAGACACCAAAATCCAGGGCAGGCATTCCGATGCATGTACACAGGACACCTTGCCAGACCCGGATGCAGAACGGGGACATTCCTGTACTTCAGTTTTCAGTTGACATGGCGCCACCATGTGGTGACAGTGTGAAACACCAGGTCATGCATCCTGCAGGGACAAGCAAGGACCAGAACACCACAGGGGGCATCTCAATCACTGCTTGGTTCCCACTTTGAGATCTTGCCATTCCCGGCAAGGTTAGTTCTGTTTGGAAACCGTGCCATTCCCAGTGAGGTTAGTTCTGTTTGGTGAGAGTCTACATTATTTCAAAATTTGCTCAGAGATACTTTCATAGGGTTCCATTTCCAGTTCGAATCATCAGAATTCACAGAAGATGCAACCAGACGGTGAACTTGGTGCCAGGCTGGGCCTCGCCCTCAGAGAGCTGACCAGGGAGTGACGCCATCTCAATACAAGGAGAAGGTGGCACGGAAATGGAAGAACAGGGGCTGCAGAAGCAGGACCAGGAACCCTGACCTTGCTCAAGGGAGGGGGATTTAGGGAAGACTTCCTGAAGGAAGTGATGATAAGCTGTAACCAAAGGACGGATGATTAAGACTTAGCCAGGAGATGGGACCGGCAGATGACATAATCGCTGGACTCCCACATGGCCAACTATGGTTCAAGTCCTGAGCCTGGTGGCTTCAAAATCTTGCTGGGCACATGTGCATGCATGCCCAAGATCCTGAGAGGAGAATGGAAGAGAAGGGATTGCAGCACGGTCTCCCCCACCCCCCACCCAGGGTTGATTTCTTGCTTTCTGTCTCTCTGTCTCTCTCCAGCAAGCACACAAGCCCTATAACAAAAAATCTCTCTTTAAAAAAGTGAGCCAGGAGACAGGAAAGAAGAGCAATGGGAACCTGGGATATCCGGGAAAGCTGAGCCATGCTGGGGAGGGGGAGGCCAAGAGGCAGGGCCGGGTCACCCAGGCCCTCGCAGGCCCCACTTAGGCAGAGAGACCACACTGGCATGCACGTGACAAGGGTCCCTTGCTGCTGGGAACGGAGGGAGGGTGAGGAGAACGTAAGGCCAGCTAACCGTTATGTCCCGGGGAGCGGCCCCACAGCTCAGCCTTCATTCATGGTTCTCTTGCCCTTTTGTCTTTCGTTCGCCTCACAGAGGAAGCACCACAGGCTCCAGAGTGAGAGCACGCTCACCCACACGCTGTGGGCAAGAAAGGGGTGAGGTAGAGCAGCCCTCCCTGCACCTCCTACTATTGCGCTGAGGCAGCTGTGCCAGCGACGGGCTGGGGACTCCTCGTGCACGACACCGGGTCTCCCTGGGTGGGAGCTGAGAGGGCCCAGCACACAAGTTGTTTAAATGAACCATTGCTGAGGTCGGCAGGTGGCGTGGTGGTGAAGGGCACTAGACTCCTACAAGGTCAATTACAGTTTGAGTCCCGGACCTGGAAGCTTGCTAGCTTGCTTTCTCACTTTCCCTCTCTCTCTCACTCTCATTCTGTCCCTCTCTGGTCAAATTAAAAAATAAATAAATGAG